CACACACACACACACACACACACAACAATGTTGCTTCAGAACAACGTGATCCAAGCTTATCAATCTGTGTAAAATAAAATTCATTTTTAAAGCCACTATCAGATATTTTTATTTTTATTTAACAAAATTTAACTCCTACTTCAAGAAAAATTTATGATACTTAAAAGATAGTTTTTTCTTCTGAACACAGAGCTTTTTATCTTAATGAAAATAATTCTTGTTTACTACTGAAAAAAGAAAATCTGGTCTTTTCCCTTTTAATTAAAAATTGTGAAGCACGAGGAAGAAATATAAATAAATACTCAACTTAATCGTAATATATTTTTGTTTTCCTGAAAATCACATCTCTGTGTGAGTGTGTATGTGTGTGTGAGAGAGTTAGCACAGTTTATATATAAATTTTTTTTTCGAACTGTATCATTGTCAACACTGTTACCACTGAAGAACTTTCGCGTAGATTACTCTGAAATTGTTTACTTACAGCTCAACAACCCTCGGGATGTTGACTTAAATGTTGAAAACCTCAGAAAAAGATTAAAAAGAAACAGTATTCCCTTTCATCCTCTTAGTGAAAATAAAGTCCATATTTTCCTTTTTCCCTCAAGGCTGTTATTTGTGACTTGAAATCCATGCATTTTTCCCCCAGTTATTTATCAAACTTTCGAATGATCTTTTAATTTTTTTTTCTTAATGATTATGATTTGAAAAAAAAAAATATTATGAAAACGGAAACTTAAAAGATTATGCACTACAGAAAAGTTAAATGAAATTGATATACTTAAAAAAAAGGACATTGTGGAAACTTTAATTCAAGAGGACATTATTTACCTTCTTTTTACGAAAGTTAGTGGAACAACTTGGTTTTAATAAATACTTATGCTCGGAACATGAATTTAACAAATTCCATCAGAAACTGGTTGCAGTTACAAATATGCGTAAGTGAATTTTCAATACCGTTCAGTTTACCAGACACAAATCTCACTAAGTGTATATTTTTGGTGACGATGCACGAAAGTGCATAAGTAAAAGGCATTTATTTTGTATGTCACATGCCGTTTGGCTAACTAAAAAATACCGAATATTTTAAGGTATCCGACTACGTTCGGAACCGTAATTTTAAAAAAGCGCATAATTGGATAATTTTCATGATATTTAGTGTCACGTTGATTAGAATACATGTATAAAATTGTTTTAAGGACATTTTGAAAAAAAAAATCATTTAAATACGATAATTTGGCAAAAAATTAACTTAGAATAATCTTTTTTGAAAATCTCCTTTTATAAAAAATGCTTCTAAAATAATAATATTTTGTGTGTGTGTGTGCTTATATAAAGTAAAGACTTCCAGAGAGACTGAACTAGGATTTTTGAAAAATTCACATTATGTTCAGAATTACCACCCAATGAAATAATTATCGGTGGGTTTTTTCTTAAAATTGCTCCCCTCTGTTGTCGTAAACTAAGGATAAATCCACTTCTAACTTATATATTACAAAAATTCTCGTTGCGCCTCTGTAGAGAGGTATGAGTTATATACAGGCAAAATATTATTATAATAGAAGCATTTTTCACAAAAGGAGAATATTTTGAATATGGGTCATTCTATGTTCATTTTTTGTCAAAATATTGTACTCAAATAATTTTTTATTGTAATAATATTCTTAAAAAAATTTTATATACATTTTCTATTCTAAGTGACACTAAATGTCATAAATAGTATCCATTTATACGCTTTTGAAAAATCAAGGTTCCGAAAATAGTCGGATACCTTAAGAGTAAAACATGAGCAAACTTTAATTTAAATAAATTGAAATTTTTCGTATATAATTTTATATTTTAAGTTTTTACAGTTTATTTTATACGGCAAAGTTTTTAATGCGTGTGGCCAGCGAAAGATGTCGAACAGCCAATACAAGAAATTCGCCATATTTTACAACACCATTACATAAATACCAGATCATAATTTAAAAACTATTCTTATTATGATCTTTCTTTTACTTCACGCCTTAGAAAACAATAAGAGAAAACATGGCAACAAGTTTCAAAGATATTTAATGGTAATATTTTGTGTTATCATTTTTAAAGTTTTCAAAAAATTTATTTTGAGAAAAATGCATTTTAGTACTATTTATCACATTTTTTATATATATATTTACACAATTACTTAAAATTCTCTAGTTTTATAGCTAATACCTTCTGTTTGTCTATTTTTAATCATTTTTTCTTTTTGGCTAATCTATTTTTTTTTCTGGTAACTTTTGCCATTGACTGAGAATGTCGTTTAGACTCTGTTGATCAAACTTCATCAAATTCTGCAAAACTCTTCAACCTTAATATACCAGTAATCACACGGAAATGTTTCTATATATCTAAGAATACCTGAAATCTTTTAAATTTTAAGGTATCCGACTACGTTCGGAACCGTGATTTTAAAAAGGCGCATAAATGGATAATTTCATGATATTTAGTGTCACTTAGATTAGAATACATGTATAAAATTGTTTTAAGGACATTTTGACAAAAAAAAATTATTTAAATACAATGTTTTGGCAAAAAAAGTAACTTAGAATAACCTTTTTTCAAAATGTTCTCCTTTTGTGAAAAATGCTGCTATTATAATAATATTTTTACTGTATAGAGCTCAGAACTCTGTACAGAGGCTCAACTATGATTTTTGAAAAATTCACATTATTTTCAGAGTTACAACCATTTAAAATAATTATCGGCGGTTTTTTTAAAAAAAATTTCTCCCCTCTGTTATCGTAAAACATGGATAAACCCACTTCTAAGTTATATATGTCAAAAATTCTAGTTGAGCCTCTGTAGAGAGGTCTGAGCTATATACAGGCAAAATATTATTATAATAGAAGAATTTTTCGCAAAAGGAGAATATTTTGAAAATGGGTCATTTTATGTTCATTTTTTGTCAAAATATTGTACTTAAATAATTTTTTGTTGTAATACTATCCTTAAAAAACAATTTTATATATACATTTTCTAATCTATATATAAGTAACACTAAATATCATAAATATTATTCATTTATACGCTTTTGCAAAATCACGATTCCAAAAGTACTATAGGATACCTTAAAACAATATTCATGGCTAATCCAAAAATAGAGTCTTGCGCAACAACAACTTTTCTTTCAAAACACACATGTGTGACAACATAATAACAAAATTATATTACAGTAGAACGTCGTTTATCCGAATCAATTGGGACCGGACACCGTTCGGATACGCGATTGTTCGGATAACCGATCCATGCAGTATAATGCAGTATACGAATGAGTGAGTGAATATTAACGTCGCATTGTTCAGTTATACGAGGCCTTTTGGCGACGGACCTCGTAATTTTGAACCATGGTCAAGTGACGAGGACGACACCTGAGCTGGCACCCCACTCCTAACTACCACACCAACGGGAGAACAATTGAGCTCTCGACAGATTTAACGAGCATCGCTCCCTTACAAGGCGGCTCTTTAGTAATACTGGGTTCAAACTCATGACGTAGCTGCCATGATCCGATACCTTAGCCACTAGGCTATGGAACTCAAGCGAGGGGATAATTCTTATTTTTACTGAACGCTTTAATCTTTAATCACGTGCATAATATATGGCAATCATATCTAATTTATAGGGACAAGCTTTAATTCTGTTCTTTTTCCCAAAACGTTCCCTACCTCTTTTTGCGGTTCGAGAGTGTAGTGGTTATCACGTTCGCTTCACACGCGAAAGGTCTCCGGTTCGATCCCGGACGGAACCATGCGCCAGAGTTTTTTATTTTATCCCAGGGAATTTGCAGGTTGAATAGCTAGGGAACTGGTGAGCGGGGGAAATTTTTTTTTACTGTCCCCTTTTACTTTTTTCATCACGTGCATAATTTTGGCAATATATTAATTTATAGGCGCTTTATTTGTCCTTTAATTCAAGACGTTCCCCCCCTTTTTTGTGCGGTTCCGTAGGTAGTGGTTACACGTTGTTTTACACGCGAAAGTCTCCGGTTCGACCCCGGGACGGAACCATGCGCCAGAGTTTTTTATTTTTCCCACGGAAGGGTTGCAGGTTGAATAGCTATGGAACCCCCGTGAGCGGGGGAAAATTTCTTTTTATGTACGCTTTACTCTTTCATCAGGGCATAATATATGGCAATGATATCAATTTATAGTGCTTTTAATTCTGCCTTTAATTCAAGACTTTCCCCTACCCTTTGCGGTTCCGTGGTAGGGTTATCACGTTCGCTTCAAGCGAAAGGCCCGGTTCGATCCCGAGGGAACCGCCGAGTGTTTTTTTTTATCCCACGGAATGCGTGGGTTGAATAGCTAGGAACTCGCGTGAGCGAGGAAAATTCCTTTTTTACTGTACGCTTTACTCTTTCATCAGTGCATAATATATGGAAAAATGATATCTAATTTATAGTGTACGTTTACCCTGTTTTTAATTCAAGATTCCCTACCTCTTGTGCGGTTCCGTAGTGTAGTGGTTATCACGTTCGCTTCACACGCGAAAGTTCTCCGGTTCGATCCCGGACGGAACCATGCGCCAGAGTGTTTTATTTTATCCCACGGAATGCGTTGCAGGTTGAATAGCAGAACTGCGTGAGGAGGAAAACCTTTTTTTGTACCCCTTTAAATTTTTCATCACGTGCATAATATATGGCAATATATCTAATTTATAGTGTACAAGCTTTAATTTGCCTTAATTTCAAGACGTTCCACCCTTGTGCGGTTCCGGTAGTGTAGGGTTATCACGTTCGCTTTACACGAAAAGGTCTCCGGTTCGACCCCGGACGGAAACCATGCGCCAGAGGTTTTATTTTATCCCACGGAATGCGTTGCAGGTTGAATACGCTATGGAACTCGCGTGAGCGAGGGGATAATTCTCTTTTTTACTGTACGCTTTACTCTTTCATCACGTGCATAATATATGGCAATGATATCTAATTTATAGTGTACAAGCTTTAATTCTGTCTTTAATTCAAGACGTTCCCTACCTCATGTGCGGTTCGGTAGTGTAGTGGTTATCACGTTCGCTTACCACGCGAAAGGTCTCTGGTTCGATCCCGGACGTAACCAAGCGCCGACATGTTTTATTTTATCCCACGGAATGCGTTGCAGGTTGAATACGCATGGAACTCGCGTGAGCGAGGGGATAATTCTCTTTTTACTGTACGCTTTACTCTTTCATCACGTGCATAATATATGGCAATGATATCTAATTTATAGTGTACAAGCTTTAATTCTGTCTCTTTAATTCAAGACGTTCCCTACCTCTTGTGCGGTTCCGTAGTGTAGTGGTTATCACGTTCGCTTCACACGCGAAAGGTCTCCGGTTCGATCCCGGACGGAACCATGCGCCAGAGTGTTTTATTTTATCCCACGGAATGCGTTGCAGGTTGAATAGTATGGAACCTGTGAGCGAGGGAAAATTTCTTTTACTGTACGCTTTACTTTAATCACGTGCATAATATATGGCAATGATATCTAATTTATAGTGTACAAGCTTTAATTCTGTCTTTTTAATTCAAAAAGTTCTCCACCTCTTGTGCGGTTCCGTAGTGTAATGGTTATCACGTTCGCTTCACACGCGAAAGTTCTCCAGTTCGATCCCGGACGGAACCACGCGCCGGCGTGTTTTATTTTATTCCACGGAATGCGTTAGGTTGAATACGCTATGAACTCGGGGAGGAGGATAATTTTTTACGTACGCTTTACTCTTTTCATCACGTGCATAATATATGGCAATGATATCTAATTTATAGTGTACAAGCTTTAATTCTGTCTCTTTAATTCAAGACGTTCCCTACCTCTTGTGCGGTTCCGTAGTGTAGTGGTTATCACGTTCGCTTCACACGCAAAAGGGTTTCCCGGTTCGATCCCGGAGGGAACCCAAAGCGCCAGAGTGTTTTATTTTATCCCACGGAATGCGTTGCAGGTTGAATAGCTATGGAACTCGCGTGAGCGAGGAATTCTCTCTTTTACTGTACGCTTTACTCTTTCATCACGTGCATAATATATGGCAATGATATCTAATTTATAGTGTACAAGCTTTAATTCTGTCTCTTTAATTCAAGACGTTCCCTACCTCTTTGTGCGGTTCCGTAGTGTAGTGTTATCACGTTCGTTTTCACACGCAAAAAGGTCTCCGGTTCGATCCCGGACGGAACCATGCGCCAGAGTGTTTTATTTTATCCCACGGAATGCGTTGCAGGTTGAATACGCTATGGAACTCGCGTGAGCGAGGGGATAATTCTCTTTTTTACTGTACGCTTTACTCTTTCATCACGTGCATAATATATGGCAATGATATCTAATTTATAGTGTACAAGCTTTAATTTCCCTGTCTTTAATTCAATACGTTCCCACCTCTTGTGCGGTTCGGTAGGGTAGTGGTTATCACGTTCGCTTCCCACGCAAAAAGGTTCCGGTTCGATCCCGGACGGAACCATGCGCAGAGTGTTTTAATTTATCCCACGGAATGCGTTGCAGGTTGAATACGCTATGGAACTCGCGTGAGCGAGGGGATAATTCTCTTTTTTACTGTACGCTTTACTCTTTCATCACGTGCATAATATATGGCAATGATATCTAATTTATAGTGTACAAGCTTTAATTCTGTCTCTTTAATTCAAGACGTTCCCTACCTCTTGTGCGGTTCCGTAGTGTAGTGGTTATCACGTTCGCTTCACACGCGAAAGGTCTCCGGTTCGATCCCGGACGGAACCATGCGCCGGAGTGTTTTATTTTATCCCACGGAATGCGTTGCAGGCTGAATACGCTATGGAACTCGCGCGAGCGAGGGGATAATTCTCTTTTTTACTGTACGCTTTACTCTTTCATCACGTGCATAATATATGGCAATGATATCTAATTTATAGTGTACAAGCTTTAATTCTGTCTCTTTAATTCAAGACGTTCCCTACCTCTTGTGCGGTTCCGTAGTGTAGTGGTTATCACGTTCGCTTCACACGCGAAAGGTCTCCGGCTCGATCCCGGACGGAACCAAGCGCCAGAGTGTTTTATTTTATCCCACGGAATGCGTTGCAGGTTGAATACGCTATGGAACTCGCGTGAGCGAGGGGATAAATCTCTTTTTTACTGTACGCTTTACTCTTTCATCACGTGCATAATATATGGAACATATCTAATTTATAGTGGCTTTAATTTTCTCTTTAATTCAAGACTTTCCCATTGTGCGTCTAGTGTGTGGTTATCAGTTCGCTTCACACGCAAAAGGGTCTCCGGTTCGACCCCGACGGAACCAAGCCAAGTGTTTTTTTTTTATCCCACGGAATGCGTTGCAGGTTAAAGCTAAACCCGTGAGGGGGGAAAAATTTTTTTTATGTACGCTTTACTTTTTTCATCACGTGCATAAAAGGAAAAATGATATCTAATTTATAGTGTACAAGCTTTAATTTGCCTTTAATTCAAGACGTTCCCACCTTTGTGGGGCCGTAGTGTAGTGGTTATCACGTTCGCTTCACACGCGAAAGGTCTCCGGTTCGATCCCGACGAAACCAGCCCCGATGTTTTTTTTATCCCACGGAATGCGTTGCAGGTTGAATACGGAACTCGCGTGAGCGGGGGGAAATTTTTTTTTATGTACGCTTTATTTTTCATCAGGGCATAATATATGGCAATGATATCTAATTTATAGTGTACGTTTTAATTTGTCTCTTTAATTTCGACGCCCTACCTTTTTGTGCGGTTCCGTAGTGTGTGGTTATCACTTTTTGCTTCACACGCGAAAGGTCCCCGGTTGATCCCGGACGAAACCATGCCCCAGAGTGTTTTTTTTATCCCACGGAATGCGTTGCAGGTTGAATACGGGGAACCCCCGCGTAGCGGGGGAAATTTTTTTTTACTGTACGCTTTACCTTTCATCACGTGCATAATATATGGCGATATCTAATTTATAGTGAAAAGTTTTAAACGTCTTTTAATTCAAGACTTTCCCCCTTTTGTGCGGTTCCTTTGTGTAGTGGATCACGTTCGCTTCACACGCGAAAGGTCCCCGGTCGACCCCGGGAGGGAACCCAAAAGCGCCGAGTGTTTTATTTTATCCCACGGAATGCGTTGCAGGTTGAATACGCTATGGAACCGCGGAGCGGGGGGAAAAACTTTTTACTGTACGCTTTATTTTTTCATCACGTGCATAATATAGGCAATGATATTAAAAGTGTACAAGTTTTTAATTCGCCTTTTTAAATTCAAGACTTTCCCCACCTCTTGTGCGGTTCCGGTGTGGGGGTTATCACGTTCGCTTCACACGCGAAAGGCCCGGTTCGACCCCGGACGGAACCAGCGCCGAGTGTTTTATTTTATCCCACGGAATGCGGAGGCTGAATACGCATGGAACTCCGCGAGCGGGGGATAATTTCTTTTTACTGTAGCACTTTTTTCATCACGTGCATAATTTTGGCAATGATATCAATTTATAGTGTCAAGTTTAATTCTGCCTTTTTAATTCAAGACGTTCCCACCCTTGTGCGGTTCCTTTGTGGTGGATCACGTTCGCTTCAACCGGAAAGGTCTCCGGTCGACCCGGACGGAACCGCGCCAGAGTGTTTTATTTTATCCCACGGAATGCGTTGCGGTTGAATAGCTAGGGAACCGCGTGAGCGGGGGATAAATTTTTTTTACTGCGCTTTACTTTTTTCATCACGTGCATAATATATGGCAAAGATATCTAATTTATAGTGTACAAGTTTTAAAGCCTTTAATTCAAGACTTTCCCCTACCTTTTGTGCGGTTCCGTGTGTTTTATCACGTTCGCTTCACACGCAAAAGGGCCCCGGTTCGATCCCGAGGGAACCATGCGCCGGGTTTTTTATTTTATCCCACGGAAGGTTGCAGGTTGAATACTTTTGGAACTCGGGGGAGCGGGGAAATTTTTTTACTGTACGCTTTACCTTTCATCACGTGCATAATATATGGCAATATATCTAATTTATAGTGTACAAGCTTTAACTGTCTTTAATTCAAGACGTTCCCTACCTCTTGTGCGGTTCCTTTGTGTAGGGGTTATCACGTTCGCTTCCCCGCAAAAAGGTCTCCGTGACCCCGGGAGGGAACCCAAAGCGCCAGAGTGTTTTTTTTTTATCCCACGGAATGCGTTGCGGTTGAATAGTTTGGAACTCGGTGAGCGGGGGGAAATTTTTTTACGTACGCTTTACCTTTTCATCACGGCATAATATGGCAATGATATCTAATTTATAGTGTACAAGTTTTTTAATTTGTCTTTTAATTTCAAGACGCCCACCTCTTGTGCGGTTCCGTGTGTAGTGGTTACCCGCTTCACCCCGCGAAAGGTCTCCGGTTCGACCCCGGACGGAACCAGCGCCAGAGTGTTTTTTTTTATCCCACGGAATGCTTGCAGGTTGAATAGCTATGGAACCCCGGTGAGCGGGGGGATAATTTTTTTTTTACGTACGCTTTACTTTTTTCATCACGTGCATAAATATGGCAAATATCTAATTTATAGTGTCAAGCTTTAATTCGTCTTTTAATTCAAGACGTTCCGTACCTCTTGTGCGGTTCTGTAGTGTAGTGGATACGTTCGCTTCAAAGCGAAAGGCCCCGGGTTGACCCCGGGACGGAACCATGCGCCGGAGTGTTTTTTTTTATCCCACGGAATGCGTGACGAATACTTTTGGAACTCGCGCGAGCGAGGGAAAATTTTTTTTTACTGTACGTTTTCTTTCATCACGTGCATAATATATGGCAATGATATCTAATTTATAGTGAGTTTTTAATTCTGTCTCTTTAATTCAAGACGTTCCCATTTTTGTGCGGTTCCGTTGTAGTGGTTATCACGTTCGCTTCAACCAAAAAGGCCCGGTTCGACCCCGGGGACGGAACCAGCGCCGGAGTGTTTTATTTTATCCCACGGAATGCGTTGCAGGGAATACGCTTGGAACCGCGGAGCGAGGGGAAAAATTTTTTTTTTACTGTACGCTTTACTTTTTTCATCACGTCAAATATATGGAAAGATATCAAAAGCGCTTTAATTCTGTCTCTTTAATTCAAGACGTTCCCTCCCCTTGGGGGGTTCCTTTGTGTAGTGGCTATCACGTTCGTTTCACCCCGCGAAAGGTCCCGGGTTCGATCCGGAGGAACCATCCCCGGATTTTTATTTTATCCCACGGAATGCGGCAGGTGAATACGCTATGGAACTCGCGTGAGCGAGGGGACAATTCTCTTTTTTACTGTACGCTTTACTCTTTCATCACGTGCATAATATATGGCAATGAATTTTAATTTAAGGCGGCAATTTTTTTAAACG